ACTGCGTCACTTCCGGTATTACAGGAAGTGATGAAACGGGTCTATTATTTGGCCTGCAGAGGCTTTTTTCAAGCCTCTGGGAGGCCAGAAAAGGCCTCAAACCAGCCAAAAATCAGCTGTGAGGCGTAGTGCAGGTAAGGGGGGGAGTGGGGGATTGCGCACACATGCGCAGGGGGCGTGGGGGTATGCATTGCCTTCTGGGTGCTGGCATGTGAGCACGCACACAATTTTTGGCACAGGAGTCCAAAAAGGTTAGCCACCACTGGTATCGGGTCTCCTGCTTGAACAGGGGGTTGGACTAGAAGACCTCCAAGCTCCCTTTCAGCTCTGTTATTCTTTGCCATTGATGGCTGTATCCTATAGATCAGAGGCCTGCAACCTTAAACACTCAAAGAGCCATTTGGACCCGTTTTCCACAGAAAACACTGGGAGCCACAAAACCCAGGTGGGCATGGCCAACTCAACGTCACTCCCCACCCAGTCATATGACCCACCCAACCCCGCCGTGCCTACCCATGTTTTGTGGCTCCCAGTGTTTTCTGTGGGAAATGGGTTTCTCTCCCCCTCCCTCCCTCCCATTTCTGTTTTTTTTGTGTTTTACCTTCTCAGGCTAGGCAAGGAGTGATGGAGAGGGGAGGGTGAGGGACGTGGCCAGCCAGTAGTGGGATCACCCAACAGGGAGCCAGAGCAGAGGGTCCAAAGAGCCGCATGAGGCTCCAGAGCTGTGGATTGCTGACACTGTTGTGGTTCGCCGGCAGCAGGTGCGGACGGCTAAGGTCTCGGAGAGCGAGGATTCAGATGAGGGGCCTGCGTGTGATGCAGGGATGGGGCCAGGACCATCAGGGAGTGGAATGTTGCCTTCGGAGATTGTGGAGGCTGGCAGCAGCGATGAAGAGGTCCCCGAGGAGCCTGTGCCCAGTGTGCATACACTCAGGGCTGCTCGAAGGAAGGAGAAGCTGCAGCAGCATGGGCGACTCGGGAGTAAGGCTACAAGGTAATGGCCCCTCCCTTAAGAGATAAAAGTCAGCTGAGAGACTGGAGTGCTTTGCAGGAAGCAAAGAAGTTTTTGCACTCAAGCCTTGTGAACGCTTGGACTCTCTTAGTTGGTGTTTGGAGACTCTTTGTGTTTGAAATATTTCTTGGCAACTTTATCTCGTGTTCTTGGCAGCCTTGCACCACCTTGGCAAGGCTCGTTCTTATCAGAGACAATTAATTTGAAACAGCCTTTTACCCATGAAGGAACAGAATTCATAAAGAATCATTCAAAGATTTTGCTGTTACCTCTGTTTCGTGTTTGTTTCCTTGGACCAAGGTTTGGGTCAGAACAGACACCCACTATAGACATTGTTGTAAACTTCCACAAATAGCAGCGCATTTTAAAAAGGCCCAGTTCCTTCCCTTGATCATCATGGAAAGCCAAATTTTCACCTTGACGTAAAAATTAAAATGCGGACAATGGGACAGCAACTTTGCGGGGTAAGAGTTAAATTCAGGATTGCTTTTTAGAATTTATTTTTTTTCCCCACAGGTGCGGAGTGATGAATGCAGGCTGATTATCCCTCCTCAAGTATCTTGAAAGAAGCAAAAAGAATACTATAATTGGCCTAGTACATTTTGGAAAGTGCCTTCAGCTGCCCACTCTTTTAATGTTTTCTTGGGAACATAGCAGATTTTTTTTTTATTGCTCCTCGGTTTATCATCTTGCAGTTCCCGTAGGGAATCGAGGCACTGAACAGCTGAACTAAACAAATATTCCTCATTAAAATGGACACTGTGTGTGAAACGCATTCACACAGTAAGTCCAGAACTTGTGAAGATGCCGGGCTGCCACACACAAGAGGAGGTGGGGGGTTCAACTTATTCTCCAAAGCCCCTGAGGAAACAATGGCTGGAAACGGATCAAGGAGAGAAGCAACCTGGAATTAAGGAGAAACTTCCTAATGGGTTTACTGCTACTAAATGACTTGCTCAGTTTATAGCTAATATAAAAATATCATTAAATGACCTAGTAAATTAATATAAAAAGCATCAGAAAGCAGGACAAGTAACAATGGATGGAAACTAATCAAGGAGAGAAGCAACCTGGAATTAAGGAGGAACTTCCTAATGGACAATTAACTGGTGGAACTGCTTGCCACCAGAAGTTGTGGGGGCTCCATCACTGGAGGTTTTTAAGAAGAGATGGGACAGCCATTTGTCTGAAATGGATGGTATAGGGCAGTGGTTGCCAATCAGTGGCCATGGCCCACTGGTGGTCCGCAGAGAAATGTCATCCCCAGAGCACCCCCCAAAGCAATTAATCCAGGCTGCGTGGGAATACAAGGCTATGCCACCCACATGGCCCGCGGGAACCCTCCCTGCCCACTCACTCTTTACCTGGCAACCTTGCCTACTAAGTTGCTATTTTTCCTCCCCCCCACCCGACTATCAGCTGTTCTGCTGTGCCGGAAGATTTGGATTAGCTAGAAAGAAGGAAATCGTTGGATTTCTTACTTTCTAGCTAATCTTTAGATCTTCGGCTCTGCTTTTAAGCAGAGCTGAACCTTCCTTAGGACTGAAGCAGTACAGACTCAGGTAGCCGATGGCAGAAACACAGATCTCTAAGTGAATCTGTGATTCTGTGAGCAACTCAATCTGCCTGCCAGCTTTGCCTGATTTTGGGTAAAAGTTGCTCTATTTTTTTATTTAAAAAATTCAATATTTATATAAATATTTATAATATTTACATACAAGCCATGCCCAGCGAAGTCAAATGACCACCAGGCCACACCCACAAATTAGGCCACGGCCACAGAACCGGTTAAGAGATTTGAATCCCACCCCTGCCTCTGTGTTTGTGTATATGTGTGTGTGTGAGAGAGAGAGAGATTCTCTCTCTCTCTCTCTCCCTCCCTCCCCCCCCTCTCTTTCTCTCTCTCTCTCCCCCCAACATCAGAAAGCCACCATCAGTCAAAAGTCATATTAGTGGTCCCCAGGATTTAAAATTATGAGTTTGGTGGTCCCTGAGCTCCAAAAGGTTGGAAACCCCTGGTATAGGGTTTCCAGCTTGAGCAGGGGGGTTGGATTAGAAGACCTCTAAGGTCCCTTCCAACTTTTGTTATTCTTTTATTCTTCTGCCAAAGCTCCTGAAGGGCAGGACAATAAGCAATGGATGGAAACTAATCAAGGAGAGAAGCAACCAGAAGTGGTGAATGCTCCAACACTGGAGGTTTAAAGAAGAGATTGGACAACCACATGTCTGGAATGGTATAGGGTCTCCTGCTTGAGCAGAGAGCTGGACTAGAAGACCTCCAAGGTCCCTTCCAACTCTGTTATTCTTTTGCCAAAGCACCTGAAGACAAGAGCAAGAAGCAACAGACAGAAACTAATCACAAGGAGAGAACCAAGCTAGAAGTAAGGAGAAATTTCCTGACAGTTGAGAACAAATAAACCAGCTTACTTCCAGATTCTGTGAAGGGTTTGAAGAAGAGGCTGGACAGCTGTTTGTCTGAAATGGTATAGGGTTGGATCAAAAAACCTCCAAAGTCCATTCCTACTCTGTTACTCTGTTATTTCGTTATCTGGAATAAAGTTCTGCGTGTAAACTAGGTTGCATCAGCAGAGGGATAGAATCAAGATCACGTGAAGTGTTAATACCACTTTATAAGGCCTTGATAAGGCCACACTTGGAATCCTGCATCCAGTTTTGGTCGCCATGATGTAAAAAAGATGTGGAGACTCTGGAAAGAGCGCAGAGAACAGCAACCAAGATGATTAGGGGACTGGAGGCTAAAACATATATAAAGAACGGTTGCAGGAACTGGGTATGTCTAGTTTGAGGAAAAGAAGGACTAGGGGAGACATGATAGCAGTGTTCCAATATCTCAGGGGTTGCCCCAAAGAAGAGGGAGTCAAGCTATTCTCCAAAGCACCTGAAGGCAGAAGAAGAAACCATGGGTGGAAACTAACCA